TTTAACGTTACGTGAACGTTACACAATGAATCGTTGTTAGAGACTTTAACGTTACGTGTACGTTACACAATGAATCGTTGTTAGAGACTTTAACGTTACGTGTACGTTACACAATGAATCGTTGTTAGAGACTTTAACATTAAGTGAACGTGTCACATTAAATCATTGTTAGAGACTTTAACGTTACGTGTACGTTGCACAATGAATAGTTGTTAGAGACTTTAACATTACGTGAACGTGTCACATTAACTCGTTGTTAGAGACTTTAACATTACGTGAACGTGTCACATTAAATCGTTGTTACAGACGTTAACATTACGTGTACGTGTCACATTAAATCATTCTTACGAAAAGATTCAAACATTTTCTAATCAAGAGTTATAAAAATACTGACATTAGGACATAGTTAATATTTTATTATGTAATTCAAATACAGTAGAAGTTTTAAATGCTTAAAATTAGGCAAAAATTAAAATTTTCTTTTCTTTAACATAAGATTCAGTTTGTAGACTTAAGGAACACTAACTAGACAGGTTTGAACTAGGCGTTTCAGTAGCTGAATTTGAAAATGAATACAAAATGTAACTAAATTTGTTCTTTACTGTTGGACGAGCCTCTAAAGGTGGTCCAGGCGTAGCCTAGTTAATAGCGTGTCGGACTGTGAATACGAGATCCCTGGTTCGCATCCCGTTGCCATAAAATCGTACTCTATATTTTCGTGGGTCGTGTGGGCGGTGGGGTGCTGCTGATTGATTGGCTTCCTTCTTGTCAGGCCCCCAGTGGCACAGCGGTATGTCTGCGATCTTACAACGCAAGAAACCGGGTTTCGATACCCGTGGTGGCCAGAGCACAGATGGTCCTTTGTGTAGCTTTGTGCTTAACTACAAACAAAGATATCAAGGCAACAGGTTAGGTGATGGTCTAGCTTCAATTTTTATATGTGCAGGTCATTCAGTTCTTTCTATTTAGAGTTAAATGTAACCTTTAGTGGTTTTCTCCGAAAGTTGTCGATAATATTTGTAAACTGATTGAGGTTTTGGAGTAATTTTGTGATTTAAGTTCCTTAGTTTTGAAAGGATCTCTCAGCCCTGTACGTGTTCTCTACGATACACGATAATGTTTTGTTTGCCTTGTAGCTTGTGTTCTCTGCGATACACAATAATGTTTTGTTTGCCTTGACACCTTGTGTTCTCTACGATACACGATAATGTTTTGTTTGCCTTGACAGCTTGTATTCTCTACGATACAATAATGTTTTGTTTGCCTTGACAGCTTGTGCTCTACGATACACGATAATGTTTTGTTTGCCTTGACAGCTTGTGCTCTACGATACACGATAATGTTTTGTTTGCCTTGACAGCTTGTATTCTCTACGATACAATAATGTTTGTTTGCCTTGTAGCTGGTGTTCTCTACGATACACGATAATGTTTTGTTTGCCTAGTAGCTGGTGTTCTCTACGATACACGATAATGTTTTGTTTGCCTA